CGCGGTGCAGTGGGGCCTGGGGCTCGCTGCCGCGGTGGGCGAGGGGGTGCTGAGGCCTGTGGGTAGGCGAGTGTGTGTGACTTCAGCCCCACTGCAGAGGAGAAGCCGTGCTGTAGTGCGATGCCGTGGCGGTTCTGCGAATCTGAGCTTGTGAATTAACTTATTTATGGGACCAGTGTCCGGGCCCCGTGTCTAGTGCCCAGAGTCACCGTGTATAAGTCCCCCCCCTCTCCTGAGCGATAATAGTTTCTCTCAGGTGATGTCAGGAGTACTTTTAAAGACTTTAGAGATTTGTTTGCTGACAAGGCATTTATATTATGCTTATCGAGGGTTGTTTCTTTCCCATTTCTAAAAAACCTAATCCCTCCAAGGAGTCCAACATGGAAGAGTTTAAAGAGCCAAGTCCACCTGAAGAATTACTTGATCACTTAAAGCTTTCTGATCAGAAGTCTGCAGACACTGTCCCCAAAGATGCACAGAATCCCAAAAACATTGAAAGTGGATATGCACCATCTTCAGCCACAGATCCCACAACAGCAGATGAGTGTTTCCATGACTGTCATGACTCCTTTGAGGCAAAAGAACCTGTGTTGGATGACGAAGGGAACTTAGAGAATGATGAGAATAGCTCAAGGAAGCAAACAGAGCTAGATGAAGAATACTTACTAGAACTAGAAAAAGATATGCCAGAGGAAGAAAAACAGGTAATCCGAAATACCAATGTTGAATATAAAAAGATATATTTTCAGTGTCACATTTCTGAATGGTCTGTGACTGGCATGAAAATGGACCTTTAAAACTCTCTTGTGTGTCAAGTTTTACTGTTCTTAATTTCTTCTTTTAGGTAACAAATATTTTTGTTAGCTTTCCTTGCTGTTCTTAATCATTACATGCTGTTGCCGATTTTTGGCTACTTTGACCAGAGTATAAGGTTACTGTGGCTCAGAGAGATTATAAGAAACAAAAATCTCCCTGTTTCATTCCATTAAATGGGTGGTTTTGTTTACTTTCAGTGCAGTTACATTAGACAAAATGTTTAGGTAACAAACTGGATAATGTGGGGAGTAATGAAATAGGTCTTATGGGAAGTCCAACAGCCTCTGTAATGGTGTTTACTCCCATGTAAATCTGTGTGAACCACATTTTTTGACCCTCAGTGGTGTCACTTGACAGCAGTTAGTTTTCAGGGTTCTAAAATATTCTGGTCATCAAGTAGTTGGAAAAAAGATAGAACTTTTTTTTCTAGCTTTGAGAAAGCTTGTTAAATCACTTTCAGGATTAGACTGTGTTCACTTGAGTAAGGTGGTGAATTTCTGTTGGTAGTTATGTTCTCGTAGCAAATGGTGGGAGGCTTTCTACTGATTTATGGATTGGGTTTTTTTCCTAATTTTTTTCAACTTTAGTTAGCAAATGGTGGAGAATTACAGATATTAAACTAAAATCTGTGTCCCAACATACCACAGTTCTAATTCTTTTTTTTTAACACTGTTTTTTGACAAGTTATATAGCGTGGCTTCTTGAACAGATCATGTTTCAAAGAACTGATCCAGCCTCTTAAAATCTGATTGAATTATCCAAATGAGCAGTTATTTGTACTGAAAATTGAAATAGTGATGAAAAGTTCTACTGTATTCTTTGGCAGTTGGGCAGAAGATGGAATTCTGGTATATTGTAACTTAAGTGAAGGGAATACTTGAGCAAATTTATTTTATAGTCCTGTAGACTTTAATTGGCTTTTATTTTAATAAAGGAAATAGAGTCCTTACTGGAAAGCTAGCTGCACAATTTGGATCATAGGTAACATTGAATAACTAGTTATGATGAGGGAGGGAGAGAGTGGAGTAAGGAACGGCAGCTGACAAGAGAAGGTAGGCAGCATCTTAGGAAAGCATTGCTGCATAGGGGAAGATAGTGTATTGTATAGCTGTATAGTTTTTATTCTGGAAACTCACAAATCAGGAGCAGTAGAAGAAATTGCTACTGTAATGGACAAGTACTACTAGAATGAGGCATTTGATGAAAAAGAAGAAATGAATGGTCATATCAAATTAATTTTTTTAAAAGTGCGTAAAATATTAATGTTTTGGTGAATTTATAAGGGCTTATTACTGTTTTGTACAGGCAGGCCGATCTTTTCTCATTCAGTTGACTTGGCAAAGGTGGACCATGCTTTCTTAACTGTTGGCTAGCCTTATCTGTGTTGTGTAAGTAAATGAATGCTGGCTATACATTGCCCAAAAATGTTGGAAAGAGGGAGGATCTTGGCAGTAACTTGACTATGCCATGGTCTTACTATCAGCTACCGTAAATAGAGAATGAGGGGCAGAAATATGCAGAGCTAAGATACCAGAGGCAACCAAATGTCTAAATTGTTTGTTACAAACCAGTATACAGAAATTTAATTGAGTTGTGGCTTAAATCATTCCCTTGCTGGTAGGGTGGGATTTCTGACCAAAATCAGTGAAGACAAAAAAATTAGTTTTTCATCTGTAGTACAGATCATTATGCTAATGTACATGTTCCTTAAGGTGGAAAAGCAACATGGGACTAGTGGGGAAGTAGAACGTGGAAAATAATCTCATTGAAGAAGGAATGAGACTAAATGTAACACTTATCTGCTGCTTGTCCATGTGGAAATAACTTCATATCTCTTTTTCTCTCAATTTTGACATCTGTAAAACGGGCATAATGATGCTTACTGGTGGTGGGAGGGTGGGGAGGGTATCTCAAGAGGTTATCTGGTTCATCCTTTGCCCCAAAAGGGCCTCTGGAGGCCATCTAGTCCAACCTCCTGCTCAAAGCTAGATGAAATAAATAGATCAGCCTGCCCAGAGCCACACAGACATCTCAGAGCCTGGAGACTGCACAGCCTCTCTGAGCCCCTGTTCCAGTGTTTAACTGCCCTCATGGTGGAAACTTTTTTCCCCTCTTATTTAATTTCTTTTGTCGCAACTTGTGATCACTGGCTGTTATTTTTCTGCATGCCTACAAGAGGAGTCCACCTGTCTGCAGTGAAGTCTCCCCTGAGCCACCTTTTCCTAAGGCTGAACAAACTGAGTTCTCCAAGGCTGTCTGCTCAGGTCATGGTCTCCAGTGTCCAGACCATCTTGGGGGACCCTCTGGGAAGTCAGTATCTTTTTTTGTTGGTTTTTTTTTGTTGGTGGTGGTGGGGTTTTTTTGTTTTGTTGTTGTTATTTTATGGAGGGAACACCAAAACTGGGCACTTTCCAAATGCCTTCTCTCAGGTGCTGAACAGAGGGCAATAATCACTTTCCTTGACCTACTCACTACACAGAAAAAACATCACATTGTCCTTGCATCTTTTCCAGTTTACACTAAACAGTCCCTTTTTTCTACTTGTATTTATTGCTTGTACAACAAGGAGCATTGTCATCATGAGTCATGATGAGGCTTCTGCAGCAGCCTATGCAGCTTGAGAGTTTCGTAGACAAAATGCTAAGAGCTGGGGGGAATTTATGTCTTAGAGTTAAACTCTAGAAAGAGCAGCAGGCCTGGAAATTGGATGTCTTAGTTTTCATGCTGCTCTTGTCTCTGTTGTATTGTTAGGAAATAATTTAATTTTGCACATCAATTTTTGCCTTCTGGAAAATGAGCAAAAAAGTCATCAATGTTGAACACTTGCATTCAGCTTTGTGGAACTCCTTTGAAAGGTGATATGGGAGTACAAAATAATAACTGTTTAAAACTGGAAAGATTTCCTTGGAGAAAGTATTGAGACAGCTGCAGTTCTCATCTTTTTGTAGGTTTATTTCCAGTGGTATTGGGCAATTGTGCCCTTCAGCTTGGTTTATGATTATAACTAAGGAAATGGAGGGATACTATCTCTTAGTGTCACCATAACTATTAGACTGGCAATACTTGCATTGCGAGAGTATCTCTTGCATCTCTTCCATAGAGACCTTTCTCAGTAAATTATATAAGCAGTCTTTAAAATATAGCTATCTTTTTCTCTAACAAGATATTGTTGGTATCTCTTACAAGGAGAGCTTGAGAAATCCAGAAACTAGAGAGGAATTAGAAGTTTACAGCAGTTGTTGTAACTACCGAAGCAGCCCATTTGCATGACCTAACCCTGCGTCACTTTATATTCTCTGTGTAGCAAAACCATGGGGTGGGTCATCCCTGAATTGCCACTCCAGCTTTCCTCATAGTACTTGGAATTGATGGCTACAAATTTTATTTTATTTTTAAAAGTGAGATGTTCTATATATTTTGATTATGAAAAGAATCTGTTAAATGACTAAGCTTTTAAGAAAAACTACTGGAGTTACACTCTGAAAACAGCTGCTGTACATCCATTTATTCAGGGTTTTTGAAACATTTTAAAACCTTCTTCCAATTGCTCAAAAGAAAGGTCGTTTTTGAGAAGAAGGGCAGCTTTTTTTTTTTTTTGCTTTTTTTTTTTTTTTGCAGCTGGAGAAAATGAGGCAGAAATATTCAGCACTTGTTTATTTTCCTGTTCAGGTTGTGAGCAGACACTCAGCAGCAAGGCTGTTTGCTACTTAGGCAGTCCTGATTCTCAGCCCCCTGCTGCCTCCTGCATTGTGCCAGCACACCTCTCTGTGTGAGTGTGCAGTGAACCAGCTATGGGGAATGATTCAGATGAAAAATAATGCTGTATTTTTAGATCAAGGGCAATGCCAATAAAAGTACACATCAAATGGTAGCCTTGTGACAGCATACAGGGGTAGATGGATTTTCTTCAATTAGACTTCTTGCCTAAATGAGAAAAACTTCCCATGAACTGTGATTGCTGCACCAACCATAAACTATGTACTCACGTCAGAAGGAGAGATGGATGTTATCCTTGCTCAAATCAAATTTATGGAGCTACACCTTAATAGTTTGGTTTTTTTTAAACTAAGCCCATTGTTATCGTTTAGCAGCTTTAATAAATGAGTTCTTTTTAACTATGTTCTCCAGTAACTAGAGTGTAGAAAAGAAAGTCTGTGATTTATTCTGGAGATGCAAAGACAGATTCTAGTCCTTGCTCTGTGTGTTTATGCATATTCTGTGTGCAAGCTTTCATGGTAGCAGCTCTGGGTAGACATTCTCACCCAGCTGCTGCAGAGGTCGAAGTGAAGGAGCAAATGGTTGTGTGGTTTCTCTCAGTTATATTTCAAGAGCGCCATGTAGCGGGATTTCTAATTTTAAGCAACAGGAATTACTCCAAGGAAATAGTCCCGATACTGTAAGAAGTCTTCTCTGCACAATGAAGCAAAATAAGAACTTGAAGGGATATTAAGACACAAGCCTGCAAGAAGTATTCTTTAAAACAGATGTAGCGTAGAGTCTGGTTACTTGCCTGGACTTGCAGCTCTGAGCTTTCTAAGAATTAAGCAGCCTGAACCAAATTCATTTTTATAGGATTTTGTTGTTGTTGTTTCAAAAGCACACTGATTTGTGCCTCAGCAGAGGCACTGAGCAGTAAATTGCTTTTGATGCATTACAAACAGATTTTTCTGATTAGTTGTCATTGACAGTGATGGCTTTGACGTTGGTCTAGTCTGCAGAATTAATCAGAAGACACCCAACAGCTGTTACATGGTAATTGTTTCAGTCTGACCGGGCCCTCTTCTGGATGGACACCCATTAATTATGAGTTTATCCAGCAGCAAGATTCTGAATCCCTCATGCTCTTCCATCACGACAGATGTTGTCTTGTTCTTTGAGCCTTGTCTGG